GACCCCCGCCTCCGGCCCCACCGCCCCGGTAAGCTGACGCAGCGTCTCTAAGCGTTAGCAGCTTTGCCCGCTAATAGGATTAGGGAGGTTTAAAACTGTCATTTGAGTGAACTAAACCCCCTGATACTCTGCATTGCACCTTCTTAACCAATTTGCCTTCAATTAGGGTAATTGGGAAACTAGCAAAGAAGTATAGCATTAATATTTTAAAGTGATGAAGCGATTACGGGCCTTGGACGAGGAAGCAAATCAATTTGCTATCTGCTCCTAAAAGGCAATTATAATCATTTGGCAAATAAGCCTGCTGGCCTCCCCCCCGCCGTGTGAGCCAACACCTTAAGGCGGTCAGTGGGGCCGCCTGGCCGGCACCGCCAACGCCGGGCAGCTGGGCAGCCCCCGCTCCTAAAATCAGCCCTGGTGCCCCAGGGACCGCGGGTCCCGGCCTGGCAGCACCTCCCTGCGCCCGCCGGGGCTGTGGGGGCACCCTGGGGGAAGCCACTGAGGGCCACCAGAGCAGGGGTCCCAGCTCCTGCGCCCATCACGGTGACCAACATGGGCACAAGCACTGGCCCTGGGCAAGCAGGAGTGGCAAGTCCAGGTGCCCGTTTTCATCCCCGGCCCTATGTGTCATCTCTGCACCTGGGATTGTCCCCAAATTCCCCCAAAGGTGGCACCTGACCTGCACCCCCCTGGCAGTGCTGTATGGCATGGGGGTGTCACCCCGTCCCCAGGGGCTGCGTGGCCCCCAGAGGGGTATGACACCATCCCTGGCACGGGGACAGCCTGTCCCGGGGGTGGTAGCATGCTGTCCCCAGGGTGGTGGCATGTCATCCCCAAGATAGCATCACGCTGTCCCCAGAGCAGCGTCAGACCGGGCAGGTGAAGCCGCACAGCCCCGCCGGGAGGGACGCCGGGATGGATGCTGGGATGGCCTGGGGGCCCAAACCAGGGCGCAGTGGTGGCTGCGGGGTCCCGCCAGCAGCAGCTCCGGTGGGGAGGGCACGGACCTGCGTGGGGCCAGCAGCCCCCCAGCACGGCGTGGGAGGGGGTCCAAAAACCCCGCGGTGACATTTGCCATCCAAAAGGGGAAGCGTGGCGAGGAGAGGAAGGGAGTGGGAGGAAGCCGAGACGGCGGCCGGGGGCAGCAGCGTTTGCAGGTGGCAGGAAGAGGCTTTTGGGAGAAAGTAAAAGTGAGTAGAGAAAGAAAAGGGCAAAACCCGCCCGGCGGGACAGGGGCGTCTGGGCAGCACCGAGCACCCCCCACCCAGAGCACCCCAGGACCCCCGTCGTGATGTTCCCGCTGGCCCCCGGGCTGGGGTCCCCGGGGCAGCAGCAGGAGGCAGGAGGAGAGGGACGGCGTTTCTGCCCCCAGCCCGGCTGCCTCTGCCCCACGCCCCCACGGCCATGGGCAGCCCCCAGGGATGGTCCCCACAGCCGGACCCCGCAGCTGGTCCCCACAGGGTGTCCCCATGCCCGATCCCTGTGCTCAGTCCCATGTCCGTGGCTTGTACCCATGCCCGGGCCCACGGACGGTGCCCAATGCCTGCTCCCCATGGCTGCTCCCCACGCTTGGTTCCCCTGACGGGTCCCTACCCCAGTCCCCATGGCTGGTGTCCGCGCCTGGTCTCCACACCAGATCCCCAAGGCTGTTCAGCCCCTGGTCCTGATGGCTGGGCCGTGCAGCCGGTCCTCACGCCCGGTCCCCACGCCCAGACCCCAGAGCAGGTCCCCAGACCCCATACCCCATCCCCACACTTGGTCCTCACAGCTGGACCCCATGCCTGGTCCCTGCCCCGTCCCCACGCCCAGAGCCCATGGCTGGCTGTCACACCTCTCCCCACACCCGGTCCCCACGCCGGCAGGGCTCCGCAGGCAGCATCACCGGGAGCCCGTGGGGCCACACACGCCGTCACCGGGGCCACCCCCAGGGCTTGCCATCCCCATCGGGGGGGGACGACAGCCACCACCGCAGCATCCCCATCCCGCCTGGCTTGGGGTGCCTGCCCCGGACCCCATCCCCGGGACAGAGCCTCGGCAGCCGAAGGAAATCCTCCCCCCTTCCCCCCATCGCCCCGGCCTTTCTTCTCCGCTCCCCCTGTTTCTAATTCTTTTTCCTCGCCCGTAATGAGGGGATTACAAGGCAAACTCCAGCAGGACGCCTTTGTGGGGAGACAATCTGAGTGGGGAAGGCAGTTCGGGGCTTTGTCCGCCGCCGCCCCCCCGGACCCGCGCTGGGGGGACATTTAGAGCAATTACTTGTCCAGAAAGTAACTGTCAATCATTCTTAAAGGGGAAGGCCTCCAATTAATAACCTCGTCTTAATCCTTTGGACTCATTTCCAATCTGCGGGGCCTTGGTGACATCTGCAACACTAAATAAAGATTCTCCCGAGCCTTAGCGCGGCGGTTCTGTGACAAATAAGAAGACTAGAGGCAACTTTGGCTGCCAAAGCTGCGAGATTGGTGAGGTTGAGCCGCTTGTTTGGTTCCCAGGAGGGACCGGCAAAGTTAAATACTCCTGGAAAAGCCGAGTTGGGCCCAGCAGGTAATGCCGATTTATTCCGATTCGGGAGGAAGCGCCAGGGGAAGATGCCAAAAAAGGGAGCGGGTGTCCCTGGGGTGTGCCCGGGGCCGGGGCTGGGGCCGGGGCTGGGGCTGGCACCCTTCCCTGGGGGCTCGGGAGCCGGTGCCGGGTGCGCGGCAGCATCACTCGCGCTGATTTACACCCGGGGCCGGAGGGCAGGAGCCACCCACGCTCCCCACCGCCCACTGCAAACAACCTGTCCCAGGCGGCCCGAGCCCCGGGGACCGCGTCCTGGCACCCAGACGGGCTTTCGAAGGGAAAAAAAATGGGACCCAGCAAAAGCCGGGGCTGTCCCCAGGCTGTCCCCCCTGCGTCCCCCGCTGCCAGGCAAGGCCACTTGTCCCCAGTGATGCTCTGCTGCTTTCCGGCACTGAGGAAGCGATTTTTTTACCCGCTTCAACCAGAGCTCGATGCCATTTCTGTTGCTTTTTCGGGTGTCTTTAATAACAGGCGCTCGCTCCCCGCCGGCTGGCAGCCCCCGCAGGAAAACCACGGGTCAGGGCGTCGAGTAGGTGGGGGAGAAAACCCTCCCGAGGCTTCGGGTCCGTGCAGTTCCCAGCACAGTTTTAAAGCTTAAGGGCTTAAACCCAAAAATTGCCACCGGCATAACAGTGGCCGCAGGAAAATGTCCGACGGGAGCAGGGAGGCAGCTCTCCCCGTTGCACCCGCTCAGCGCTGCCCATTTTTAGGCAGGATTCCCGAGATGCCCGTGGCAAAGACTCGGGGTTCCTGGGGGATGAAGACCACGGGGTGGCTGGTGCTGACGTCTCCCAGCCCGACCCCACTGGGGTCCCCCCTTCCATGCCCAGGGATGTCCGTGACCCCGGCCAGGCCGAGGTGGAGCAGGGTGGGGAGGTTGTGGAGGGTGACAGGGTCCGGTGCTGCCACCCTGCTGCCGGGTCGCTCCTGCTTGGTTATTTTGCTGTTCTTCACTTCATT